GACCCAGAATTGGTTTGGGGATAACATACGCTATGAGCAATCTGGAGCTTTTCTAGATTTCCTTAATTACTAAATTATTTAATTCTACATGTCCATAGCTCCTTTCTGTTTTTTCTGGCTCTTTTCTTGAATAAATATATTTTATTTTCTCATTACATAAAGATAAATGACCTAGTTTAATAGGAATTTATAAACATTACAAATTAATCAAGTAGAAAAAAATTTAATTTGCTATTCAGCTAGAGTCATGGAATTGAGAAACAGACAAGTTCACTTCCTGTTTTTCCCCTTTCAAATTCTAAAATTCAACATTTTTCCTGATAGAATGGTTTAAAAACCAGTACATTTAGTCAAGTAATTACCATAGTCAACATATGAAAATTAGGCATAAGATTTCATATATTCATATTTGCAGCTATAAATATTTAAAAATCTTTATTAGTTCACTAATAATCTACATACAATGGGTGAGACTCTGAGATTCCATTAAAAAGAACATCACTGAAAAATGGAAATAATAAAAAGCAAAATACCATTAACTATATAATTAAAAATAACTTGTGGGTTTTCAAGTGGTTGTCTTAACTCAAATTTTGCTTATATCTGACAAAGTAGTTCTAGGATAATGAAACCACAGGGCTGTTATTCTATTATTAAAAGAAAACAAAATTGAACTAGGATCAATCTAGAAAATTACCAGTTTCAACTCTGCAGCTTGTTCAGAATCTCCATCTGAAGCAGGGGCTGAAAACTGTTGATCCATGCCAGATGTTTGGGAAGATTTCTACAAATAGCAAAGAAATAAACTATGAAATAAATTTAGTCTAGGAAGACAGGCTAAAGCCACACATTACTACACACATATAAAGCATAACTTATACATGCTTACCAAAAAATTTACATTAGCACTTTAATTTTTATGCCCAATATAAAATTTCAACATAGTATACATAATCTGTGACTTTTCCATATTTATACGAAGTAATTTATTATTATTTTTGCAGTTTTTGGCCGGGGCTGAGTTTGAACCCGCCACCTCCGGCATACAGGCCGGTGCCCTACTCCTTTGAGCCACAGGAGCCACCCTATACCAAGTAATTTATTAAATCTAAGCATCTACCTGTGGTCATGTGGAGAAAGAACATAAAAGCAGATATTTACTGAGCAACTTCCATGTATTAAAAGAGTAGTACGTCATTTAAATCTCCTTGTTATGAAATAGATACTATCACACTATCACTACAATTTATAGATTAAGAAACAAGTTTAAAGAGGTTCACTAAGTTGCTTAAATTCAATTAGCTAGGAAACATGGAATCTTAGAGAGTCTAACTCTAAAACTCATACTCTAAAAAAATCTTAATACATGATACTCTCGCTTAAGGTATCTACCAAAAAAAGAAACCAAAATTTTAAAAAAAGAAAGAAAGAAAAGGGCAGAATAATGAAAATTGCTCTTGACCTCTTATTTTAAATATTTACTTACCAAATTTTCAATCAAAGACTCCTTTTCAATCAGCTGACTCTGTAAAACTTCTTGATTACTTTTTAATTTTTCTATCTCTTCTCGCAACCTATCAATTTCTTCTGGCTGAATGCCATTCATCTGAGCCCCATTGCTATAAGAACCTTGATGATGACTGTCTTTTCCTATTCGCCAAGAATAAAATTTTAAAAGCCAGTATAAAAATTAAGTTCTTCATTATTTGAACTATAAGATTCAAATACAATATTCTAATATACATATAACTTTCTTAATTCAATGACATTGACAGTACTTTTGCAATTACATTTTATCTTTGCAGAATAGTATCATTCATTCATTCCGAGAAAGTCTCACCCTGTTGCTCTTGGCTAGAGGGCCATGACATTAGCCTAGCTAACAGCAACCTCAAACTCCTGGGTTCAAGAAATAATCCTGCCTCAGTCTCCCATGTAGCTGGGACTGCAGGTGCCCACCACAAATCCCAGCTAATTTTTCTATTTTTAGTAGAGATAAGGTCTCACTCTTGCTCAGGCTAGTATAGAACTCCTTAGCTCAAGCAATCTTCCCACCTCAGCCTCCCAGAGTGCTAGGATTATAGGTGTGAGCAACCACACATGGCCAAAATAGCGTATTTATAAAAATAATGAACTGATGGTATTTTCAGGTTCTGGGAGGAAAAACAGCATAGTCAAACAGTTGACTAAACTGCATGGTCTGGTAATCTATGACTGAAGAACTACAGTAATTTCAATCCAATTCTGTCAATGAAGATAAGTAAAATCCCTTTTTATTTTATTATTATTATTATGTTTTTTGAGACAGAGTCCCATTATGTCATCCTTGGTAGAGTGCTGTGGCATCACAGTTCACAGCATCCTCAAACTCTAGGGCTTAAGAGATTCTCTTGCCTTATTCTCCCAAGTAGCTGGGACTATTGGTGCCCACCACAACGCCCAGCTATTTTTTTGTTGTTGTAGCTGTCATTGTTGTTTAGCAGGCCAGGGCCGAGTTGGAACCCGCCAGCCCTGGTGTATGTGGCTGGCACCCTATCCAATGAGCAGTGGGCACCAAGCCAAAATCCCTTTTTAAAAATCTTCACAAGCAAGGTGGCACCTGTGGCTCAAAAGGGTAGGGTGCCGGTTCCATATGCCCAAGGTGGGGAAAAAAAAAAATCTTCACAAGCACTGCAAGGATGATAGTATTTTTTTTTTTTTAGGATGATAGTATTTATAAGCAGCTGAGGCTATAAGCAGTTAACTATCCGCCAGCCAGCACTAGAATTTCACACATACATGTAAAATTTCATTTAATTCTCAGATGTTATTATTTTCTCCATTTTGCAAAAGAGGAAATTGAAAGATCAGATTATACAAGAGAATCACCATATAATTCCTGATGCCTGGACCCAACCCCAGACTTAAAAAATCAGAAACTGTACTGGGGTATTTTTTTTAACCAATGAAAAGCATGTCAGGTAAGTGTCTAACGTGCAGCCAGGGTTGAGAGTCTCTGCGTTAGAGCCATCAGGTAGCAAGGAGCTGGGATTTAGTCTCAACTACTCTTAACTAACGTGCTATTTTGTTTTAAACTCAGATTTACAAAGTTTGTCGCTGTGACTTAAGTTACAGAAAGATTAGTCCATAAAAGGAACCTAGTTCTTGGGGACAGGATGCCCTGGATGCTGACTGAGCCGGCCAGGTGCACTCACCCAGCTGCACTTTGAGCAGATTATACTGATCCCTGTGCTGCTGAATCTGCGCCGCCTGCTGTGTGACTGCCGTCTGGAGCTGCTCATTCTGACATTTCAGGGTAGAAACTTGCTGCCGTAACTCCTCAAGTTGCAGGTCCTGTGAAACAATGTATAATTCAAGAGTTTTACATTCACACTAATTATTAGCACTAAGAAGATGAATAAATTTTAAAAATCAGAGGTTATTTTGGGTTCGTATGTTAAAGTACTTGGCCCTTCCAATAACAAGCAGTGATGTATTCCTGGACACCAAAGCAGATTAACATGTAGCTGAACTGTAGGGTTTCCAGTGTGGCCTACAAACACACACTAGGGCACAGAATGCAACCTCACCGCAATTATGGGGACTGTCATCAGAACAAAGTTCATTTTATGGCCGATTGAACCACTGAAGAAATGTACACCAGACTATTTAAGAAGCTTAGTATATGTACAGATACATCTGTTATTTCTAAAATTAAAAGAAAATCAAGAGTATTTAGAAGACTGAAAAGAAGTGCTTTCAACTCTTACCACCCTAATACCATAGTTGAAATTTGATATATTTATTTTCTTTCTTTTTTTTTTTT